TTTATTAACCCACTGTCTGGTGTGAAGATGGAATTTATTGGTCCACCCCTTCTGGTACCTCCCCCACAAAAGGTCAAAATCTTGAAAATTCGTGAGGCTCATAAAACGCGATATTAACAACCTATTCAATTAAAACTTGACATATCTTAATATTTCTAACAATACAAGATCTGTTATATAGATGGTAGAGATGGGACCATTCCTTGTCGTTCCGTCCCCACAAAGGGTCAAAATTTTGAATAACCAAAACGATTATAAAGTTCGAAATAAGCATCCGGTTCTCTTTATATTTCACATATCCCATTATTTATACTAACACAAGATCTGCTGTAAAGATGGGATATATTGGACCACTGCTTCTGGTACCTCCCCCACCAAAGGGTCAAGATTTTCATATCCACGCAGCTCATAAAACGGGAAAATAACCTTCAATGTCATTCAGACTTGGAACATCTCGATATTTCCATCAACACAAGTTCTGTTATAAAGATGGTAGAGATCGGACTATATCACCTGGTACCTCCCCCACATAGGGTTCAAAATTTTAAAAAAACAAAATGCTGAATAGAGGCGGAATAAGCATCCAACTCTCGTCAAATTGCAAACTAACAAAAGATCTGTTGTGAAGATGAAGATGGTTGCCCATATTCGACGGACCTCTGAGCCCTTTGGGCCCATTCCAATCGACGAGGCTTGTCCGCAGGCAACATTCTTTGCGTCAATTGAATTTTGTACGGGAACAAATGCAAATCAATGCGAATAATCCGTTGTAAAGTGGACCGAGCCATGCCCAATTGCTGAGAACGCCGTTTTTGGGATGTTTTTGGGGACCTCTCAACACTGGCTCGTACGGCAGCGATATTCTCGGCCGATCGCCTTGGTCGACTTTTAAATGATCTCTTCGGATTAGAAAGAGCCTTACCAGTCGAAAATTGTTCGTATAAACGCATAATGGTGTTCTTAGAAGGCGCACTTCTCACATTTTTTAATGTTTTAAAAGCACGTTGAGTTTTCACAATTGACTTCAATTGACTATTTCAGAGCGCTCGCGTGGCGTGTATTGGTTCATGGTAAAAATCTCCTTGGACTGACGCTTCAAACGCGGTATGTCATTAAGCGATGTGACATCTCTGTCAAAAGTTATGGCGTTGCTAGATGGGTCCGTCGAATATGGCAACCCTATACATCTGCGAAACCGTTCTGCTACCTCACCCACAAAGGGTCACAATTTTCAATACTTATAGCTGTCATCACTTGCGAAACAAGTCAGATATTCTTTACAACTTGCTACATCTAAATATTTCCCTCAACCAGAAAACTGAGATATAAATGTTCGATTTTCTTGTAATTTTGCCCATACCAATATTTTTATCTGTATTCGATGACGTATGACAATAGAATACTTCGGTCGACCATATCTCACGCACATATAAAGTGAAGGGAGTACTCGATAAAGTCCAAACCTGGCATATCGCAGTATTCATATCATATTTATTTAGGTTCGATACGAAATGGACAATATGGGTTCATTCATTCGGAACCTACTCCATAGAGGGTCAATAATTTGAATAATCATAACCCAAGTCAAAATATATTTAAATAATCGAACATTGGCTGAGGGCATACATCTGTCGGGGAAAAAACGACTGATACTTGTTTTATTTAGAATTAATGTCCCCTGGAATCGTTGAATTTTATGTATATAGTGTCATAGGTATTATTGCTTTTTTTATAAAATTGTTAAATATGCCCTTTTAAGGAAATCGTAGCATGTCAAAATATTCTACAAAATTATTTGTCTTAAAATTCCTGTATAGGTCTCAGAATTCCCCAGCACTCTAAGTCTTACCGGAGTATCAGGAATATCGAAATATTAAAAACAAATTTTAGGTTTAAATTCGTATCCAATATGAGTATTGGTAAAATTCTCATTCAAAAGGGTCAGCTACTACCGATAATAGAATTATGACTTTCATTTCTTCAATGTGCGCAGAGCAACCCAAATCGGCAGTCTAAAACTTTGGAATTAATTTTTTTTCTTAAAGACTAATAACCTACTTTTTGAATGCATATTAAAATATATCTATCTCCGTCTTTCTTTTTAAAATTTCCATTTTTTTATTTTATTGTTTATCAAGATTGAATTCATTTTCGAAAAACCTGAAACAATACCAGTCAGCATTCTTGTTGTGTGACTCATCGAAGACGTTTTTTAAGTCAAGTTCTAATTAGACCTTCTTTATTGACTCATTGCCGTATTAACTTTGATGAGGTAAACAAATTGACAAAACAAAAAAATAAGTGAATAAATGATAGGTACTTAAAAATAACACATGACAAGTATTTTAGAATAATTAATGGTTTAATGAGCTATTTACAAAATATATGCAATTGTTTGCGAAATTAAAATCTAATTTTAGTAAATTAAGTATTTATTACAAGCACAACTATTTATATAATTAAAAAAAATTCTGAGATAGAATATAGGGTGAGATGAAAAAACTGCAACCAACTTCAGACTGCTGTCATTTCTAAGGCATTCTTTTTTTATATTTGACTGCAAAACCACAAGTGGCTATCGTTAGAGCACTCCAGCATTTAAATGTGAATAAATCTTTTGTGTCTTATACCATCACTCGTTACTGTGGTACTGGTAGCGTAGCCCGACGTTAAGGAAGTGGACGCAAGAAAACAGCAACATCAGCAGAAATGGTTCGAAAAGTAAAGAAGCGACTTGATCGAAACCCGTGTCGCAGTGGCCGAAAAATGGCTCGTGAGCTGAACATATCGCAATATTCTATTCGGCAAATATTGCAAAATGAGCTCGGGGTAAAGCCATTGAAATTCCAAAAAGTGCAAGAACTTACACCGCAACAGAAAGAAAATAGACTTAAACGAGCTAAAGAGTTGATTCGCTTGGCCGAAAGTGGTGAACAGCCGAATTTCATTTTCTCCGATGGAAAAACATTCGTTGTTCAGCAGTTTGTAAACAAACAAAATTATCGCGTTTACTTGCCAAAGAGGTCAGCTGAAAATGTGCCCCTTCGCTTGGCCAAGGTAATGGTGTGGGCCGCCATGACAGCCAATGGTCGCTCTCCGCTCGTATTAATCGACCGTGGCATCAGAATAAATGCCGAATATTATCGCTAAAATATTTTGAAGGGTGTATTAAAGCCTTGGGCACGCAAATATTTTGGCTGCAGACCTTGGACATTCCAACAGGACTCAGCACCATAGCACTCAGCATGCGCCACCCAAGAATTGTTACAAAATGAGGTTCCTCGCTTCATTTCCAGCGCACAATGGCTACCAAAATCTACGGATACCAATTCGTTGGACTATTATGTCTGGAGTATTTTGGAAAGCAAGGATGGCACTAAAAATTTCCAAAGTGTCGATCACCTCAAGCAAGCGCTTCGCCGGGAATGGGCCAGAATACCGCAGAGCAACGTTCGGGCAGCGTGTGACGGTTTCATTGGCCGTTTGAAGGCCATCATTCGTGCTAAAGGTGACCAAATCGAACAAATCTAAACTTATTCTAAAATTTGATGCTATTTCCGAATTTTTATACCCTACACCACAAGGTGGTCAGGGTATTATGTTTTTGTGCATTTGTTTGTAACAGGCAAAAGAAAACGAGATAGACCCATAGTTCCTTCTGATGATCTGCATAGAATCACATTCTGAGTCGATTTATGCATGTCCGTCCGTCCGTCTGTCCATGTATTTTTGTAAACAAAGTACATGTCGCATTTATTGCCCGATCCAGATGAAATTTTGCACGGAGCATTTGTTTGGCCCAAGGACGAACCCTATTGAAATTGGAGATAATCGGTCAAAATTTAGATATAGCTCCCATATATCTTCGTCCGATTAGCCGTTTATTGTGCACCAAACGTGTAATATCAGCCCGAATTGAATGGAACTTTGCACATACACCCAAATTAGGCCTAAAAATAAGTATGCTAAATTTGATCGAAATCGGTTCAGATATAGCTATAGCTCCCATATATATTGTTCATCCGATTTGTTATTTTTGTCCTCCGCAGCCGTAATATGCACTCTGTAACAACAATATTTGGGGGAATATAACAAATACGGCTCAGAAATACATTTTCCAAATTTTCTCGAGATCGGTTTAGATTTGGATATAGCTCCCATATATAACTTCGTCCGATTTACCTTTTATTGTGCACCGAACGTCTAATATTTGTCTAAATGGGATGGAATTTGGCACTTACGACAGAATTGAGTCTAGAAGCTAGTATGTCACATTTGGTGAAGATCGGTTCAGATATAGCTATAGCTCCCATATATATTTTTATCTAAAACAGCCTCTTAATCACAAACCTACCACCAAAAGGGTCCCCACTACAAAATTTCAAAATTCCATCTTCATTCGTTTACCCTGTTCCAAATTTAGTATCATTTAGTACAGTTCACACACTTTCCAACCTTGATTCTCATACAAAATTCTAAGTCTATCTAAATTTCAAGTAATATCAAATGGTACCATTTTAGAAGTTTATTACCATTTTAGAACTTTTCGTGATCTAAAATTTCTAATTTCTAAAAAGCCTTTGGTATATCTATCCTGCACTCAATCACCTACTCTCATTCCAATCTTCAGAATTCTAGCTCATTCCATTTGTCCAATAGAAATCATGAAATTTGTAGTACATTTCGTACCCTTTTGGTACGAATTTCTAAAAACCCAGCCTTGCCACACACCCACGCTTCAAGACTGAACCTCGTGCAAATATTCAAGATTCTTGCTTCCGGCGTTTCGTCTGGAAGTTTATTCTCGATCAATCATTCAGTTATTTCCCTACTCCTTTATATTCGGATGATGATATTTGCGAATATTTTCTTGACAAGAACTGGCTACTTTTTGGCCTCTTTGATGCTTTAAAGGAAAGCATTCTCTAAGCCCCTGCCAAAAGAAACCATTTTCGAACTTTAGAATATTCCCTTAGGGGGTGCTCTCCATTAACCTCCGTATGGCCACCAAAAATCACCCCCTCAATGCCCCCAATACCGTTTGATTAAACCGTTTCAAAAACGTTCAGCGTTTCTCTGGACTTCAGTTTATTTCCATTTAATTAAAATCGTGTCCTAATTGCAACATTTTGTCAATGAAAAGGCAAGGCACAAATCCTTGGGTATTAGTTTTTATGTGACGGAGGATACAATTTCTTAATCGCTCAAATATCCTACTTCCTTTGGTGCTGGTGGCTTTTGTTGTTGTTCGTTGGTTCGTTCGTCTTTTCTTTTCATTTCTGAACATCTCAATAAATTCTCTATTGTTTTGTTATCATCACAGCCAGAAGCTGTTCAGAAGCAGCAGCAACAGCAGCAGCAACAAAATAATAGAAAGTTGAATGCAATAAGGATAAGCGAGGTGGATGAACAGGGAGAGGAGAGGAAACGTAGGTAGGTAGCTTGGTGGGGGTAGTACATGTGTGTATAAGGAAGGAAACGAAGAAAAACCTGAATCAAAACAAATCGAAATAATGGTGTTCTTGGGGATGAGAGAGCGAGTGAGAGATGAAGAGAGAGAGAGGAAGGTGGCTGGAGGGGTAGATGGATGGATGGTTTGAAAGATGTTACAGGTCTAAGACTGAATTTGTTATTGTTTTTTACTTTCTTTGGATTTTTTCTGTTGTCTTAGCTGCCCGTTTGGCTGGAAGGTTGTTTGACTGCGAAATTGCATCGTTTTTGTTTTGACTTTCATCTTCTTCTGGGAGAGGGATACCTAGCTTTTGGTAATTTCCTTAAGATCTACTTCCATGTATGAGGCATTAGGGGGCCATGGTAGTCCGTTTTCTGTTTTCTACTTTGGCAGAAATCAACAAAGCATATCTTCGGATGTGTGGATATGTCAACACATCTTTGGCGAGTTAAAAGTATAGAACATGAATTGTGTTGTGTCTAGACGGATGGTGTTATAAATATTCCATTTCTCATTTTCTTTACCAACCCCCCAAACGGGCCACCCTTAGGAAAATCCATAACAAACCAAACATCATCCAGCCCGCATTCCAGTCAAAGGAAAAAATCCTGTTTTAATAACCCTAAAGGAGCCTGCCTGTTTTACTTCTGTCAACCAGCAGAACTCGTCTCTGTGTGTTTGTTGTTGTTATTGATGTTGTTGTTGCCAGACATTAAAGACCTTTATGCATGCATGCATGCTCTCTTTGGGTTACCTTTTAGGACCTTTCCATGGATGTTTGTTGCTTTGAAGAAAGGAAGGGTTCCGTTCGCTGCGTTTCATACAACGAACGACTTATTGTTGGGTTCCTTGTTATTTTGTTATTCCCTCAGCCATATGGCTCGAGAGGGTATATATCTTTTGATACGGCCAAAATGTGCCTCATCGAAATAATGGTCTTAGACCCTAGGCCTCGTTGGACCAAATCGGTTTCAGGACATTTGGAGTGGATCAAGCGATGTATGTATGTCTGTCCGTCCGTCCGTCCCTCAGTCTGTCTGGCTGGTTTGAACCATAACTCTCCAAGAGATTATCCTATTTGATCCAAACTTGGTACATCGTAATATTTTTGTCAAACCTAGATTGAGTTCGGTGATGGGCAACATCAGTCCACTACTTCTGGTACCTCCCCCACAAAAGGTCGAAATTTTCTAAAAAATATATTTTCTGCACAGAAAGAGAAACGATAATCCGATTTTGTTCCAATTTTGCAAATCCTTATATTTGCACCAGTGCTAGGTCAGGTGCGATAATGGACAATATCGGTCCACTCCATCAAGTACCCACCCCACAAATGGTCAAAATTTTGAATAAGAATAATTCTTATAAAATGTGATGTAACAGTCCGATTGTCTTCAAATTTCACACATCCCAATGAACTTATTAACCCAAGGTCTGGTGTTAAGATGGAAAATATCGGTCCACTCCTTTTGGTACCACCCCCACAAAAAGCCAAAAATTTCAACTTTGCAAATCCTAATATTTGCTTCAGTGCTAAGTCTGGTGCGAAAATGGACAATATCGGTCCACTGTATCAAGTGCTTCCCCCACAAGGGGTCAAAATTTTGAATAATTACAACTCTTATAATATGTGATGTAAGTGCCCAATTGTCTGCAAATTTCACACATCCCAATAAACTTATTAACCCAAGGTCTGGTGTTAGGTCCACTCCTTCTGGTAGATCCCCCACAAAAGATCAACATTTTCAAAGAAATATATTTTCGGCACAGAAAGAGAAACGATAATCCGATTTCGCTCCAATTTTGAAAATTCTAATATTTGCGTCTGTGCTATGTAAGGTGCGAAAATGGACAATATCGGTCCAGTTTATCAAGTACCTCGCCCACAAAGGGTCAAAATTTAGAATAATTACAACTCTCTTAAAAAGATGATGTAAGAGTCCGATTGTTTTCAAATTTCACACACCATTATAAATCTATTAACCCAAGGTCTGGTGTTAAGATGGAAAATATAGGTCCACTCCTTCTGGTACCTCCCCACAAAAAGTCAAAATTTTCAAAAAATATATTTTCTGCACAGCAAAAGAAACGACAATCCAATTTTGTTCGAACTGTGCAAATTCTAATATTTGCGTCAGTGCTAGGTCAGGTGCAAAAATGGACAATATCGGTTCACGCTATCAAGTACCTCCCCCACAAAGGATCAAAATATTGAATAATTACAACTCTTACAAAATGTGATATAAGTGTACGATTGTCTTCAAATTTCACACATTATAATATTTTTATCGATCCAAGGTCTGGTGTTAAGATGGAATAAATCGGCCCACTCCTTCTGGTACCTCCTCCACAAAGGGTCAATATTTTGCATATTCATTAAGCTCATAAAACGCGAAATTAAAATCCAATTCCATTTAGACTTGGCACATCTGAATATTTCCATTAACACAAGAACTGTTATAAAGGTGGTAGAGATCGGACCATTCCTTCTGGTACCTCCCCCACAATGGGTCTAAGTTTTAAATAACCTAAACGATTTTAAAATTCGAAATAAGCCTCTGGTTATCTTCATATTTCACACATCTAATTATTTTCACCGACACAAGATCTGCTTCGAAGATGGGATATATCAATCCACTCTTTCTGGTACCTCCCCCACAAAGGGGGAATACCCATGAAGCTCATAAAATGCGAAATTACCATTCGATTCCATTCAAACTTGGTACATTTCAATATTTCCATCAACGCAAGATCTGTTATAAGGATGGTAGAGATCGGAACATTCCTTCAGGTACCTCTCCCACAAAGGGTCAACATTTTGAATAACCAAAACGGTCATAAAATCCGAAATAAGCTTGCGGTTCTCTTTAAATTTTACACATCCCATTATTTTTACTAACCCAAGGTCTGCTGTGAACATTTAATGTATCGGTCCACTGTTTCTGGTACCTCCCCCACAAGGGGTCATAAAACGCGAAATTTGCATCCGATTTCATCCAGACTTGGTACATTTCAACATTTCCATCAATACAAGATCTATTAGAAAGATGGTAGAGATCGGGCCATTCCTTCAGGTACCTCTCCCAATATGGGTCGACATTTTGAATAGCCAAAAAGCTCATAAAATCCGAAATAAGCAGCCGAAACCGCCACTTTGGTTAGAAAATCGAAAAAATTCGATTATCTGAAATCAGTTGGGAATATAAGGCACATATAGCCAGAAAGTACTCCTCGAGACCTTTCATTTAAGACTCGCCTCAATGACGCAGCTAGCATAGTTTTTGTGCAATTCAGTATTTTCCATGCAGTTTCCCTACCGCCAACACCACTCTGGTTATTCGTCCTCGTCGGGAAATTGTGTCATTTTCCTGTTAAATTAATTTAATTAATTAATTTAATTTAAATTAATTTAAAAATACGTTGATTTATCCAAAAAAAAATGGTAAAAATTATTAATATTAAAAAAAACTATTCTTCAATTAACCCCTTGCGCACCAACACATTGCATTTATATTTTAAAATTTATCTTCACGGGCATAATTCATTTAGACTTTGTACGTCTCAATATTTCCATTAAGGCAAGATCTGCTGTGAAGATGAAATTTGTGGGTCTCCTTCTCCTCCTTCTGGTGTCTCTCCGCAAAGTGTCAAAATGTGAATAACCAGGGATTCATAAAACGCGAAATTAACATCCGATTCCATTCAGACTTAGTATATTTCAATCTATTAAAAATGTGGTAGGGATCGGACCATTCCTTCTGGTACCTCCCCCACAAAGAGCCAAAGTTTTGTATAACCCAAACGATTATAAAATCCGAAATAACTTCTGATTCTCTTCAAATTACACACATCACAATATTTTCATTAGACCAAGGTATGGTGTGAAGATGGAATATGCCGGCCCACACCTTCTGGTACCTCTCCCAAAAGGGATCACGCGAACTTAACGTCCGATTCCATTCAGACTTGGTACACCTCAATATTTCCATCAACACAAGATCTGTTAAAAACATGGCAGGGATCGGACCATTCCTTCTGGTACCTCCCCTACATAGGGTTCAAATAAGTGGTACCCCACCTCCAAATAATCAAATTTTTCAATACTTTTATTTGTCATAGCTTGCGTAACAAGTCAGCGATTCTTTACATCTTGCTATGTCTAAATATTTATCTCAGACAGAAATCTGAGATGAATATGGAATTTATCGGAATTTATGATTTCGCATAAAATTCGATTTAAATGTTCAATTTTCTTGAAATTTTGCTCATACCTTTATTTTTATCTATATTAGATGTAGTATGAAAATGGAGTACTTCGGTCGACTATATCTGGTCTCATACAGAGTGACGGAAGTAGTCGATATAGTCCAAACCTGGCACGTCGAAGTATTTATATCATATTTATTTAGGTCCGATACGAAATTGACAATATTGACCCATTCCTTCGGAACCTACTCCATAGAGAGTCAATTGTTTGAATAATCTTAACAGAAGTCAAAATATGTTTTTAAATAATCGAACATTGGCTGAGGGTATACGTCTGTCGGCAAAACCAACTGATACTCTTTAACTCGTTTTTTTATTTTGAAATCGACTCTCTGTTGTTTATAAAACTGGTTTGTTGTTATCATTATTTCTACCATCTTTCCTTCCTTTCATTCTTCCTTCTTGCTTATGACTTGTTTTGTTCTTTCGCACCAACCAACCAACCACCACCATGGATGAATGAGAATGGCAAATCCTTTCACACAAAAAATAAAACCCCTTTACAAAAGCTGCATGGCACATTCCCTCAGATGTATACTGCATATGCTCTCACTCACTCTCTTTTTGAATCCCTTTCTAAAGAAACGAAATTGGTAGGAGCAACAACAGCAATGTGTATTATCCCTTGCGGATTCATTTTCTGCTTTCGCAGTTTGCTTGCTTGCATCTGAAAAGATGCTAAGGAAAGAAATGGAATTTCGTTTTCTGTTGTTTC